TTCACAATAGACGTTTATACACCATTCGATAGAGAATTTCAAGAGCTACATTTTGCACTATTTGTATTTCAAGATAGATAAAATCGACTTTTTGGCCTAATGTCCGCTTAGTTGCCCACTGTGCGCTGTTCTTCTACTGTACATGAACATCTCCTAGTCCGTAGTCATACTGTGGAACTATCTGATTTTCGATAAGCTTTGGAGTTTACTTTTCAGAAACATTTGCTCAGGTAAATTAAGTCCTACTTCGCTGTATTTCACAATTCTGATTCGATCATATGATTGGAAATGATCTTAAATTAAATATGAGAAAGACTGATGCCTTTTACTTCATTCAATTATGAATTTCACCAATAAGGTTGCGTTTGCCGTATGTGAAGCATCGAGCATTCACGCTTGAACTTCCAGAGAGTGTATATCCGTGGATATTATCGCTCGGACCAGTTCGGTGCTAGAACCATTCTAGCATTCTGTGAATGAGGCGGAATGGCTGAGCCCCAATTCTCTGTGTATCAAACAGAACCGAACCGATCTTTGCTACACCTGAAAGTCACTAATGGCAAAGCGATCTTACACCAAGGTATGTATGTCTTTTGTAATGTAGATCTGCAATTGTCGCACAAGCACGCGTCAACGATAATAGTATAAGAAGGTATCATCACAGTCATTATTTATCGATTCATTTTTACTAGTTGTAAGTGAACCTCTTGATTAACTAAAGAATAAATAAATAACAGTTTTAGAGAATAAAGCCATATTTCTTAAAAATGACATTTGTGTCAAACCTTGTTTCGATGGCGATGATTTACTGTTCGAACTTATTGATTGTTGATTGTCCGTTGATGATTTTTGCAAGAATGGTATATTAAGAATTTGCTAGAACAATAAAATAACGTTGTTAACTATTCATTTAAAAAAAGACTTGTCAACGTTCTCCTGTCGGGCAAAAATGTGAAAACTTTTATCTTCAGTTTCTAAGAAATATTGTTAAAATATAGTAAACGCTAATACCGCGGCAGAAAATCAATTGAAAATCGACGATAAATGGTGGGTTGAATTACGTTTAAATTGTGTTTTTGTTGCTGACTCTCTTCATATATTTTTCTAGACAGTACTTCATCCACTCCCAGACGTCAGCCTCCAACGGGTATGTTAATATCAAGGTTAAGGACATCTTTATCCAATAACGCGTTTCTATTAAACTGTAGATCTGACGAAAGTCACATATATAAATCTAAATCAGCCATATATCTGCTAATCTCAGGCTCTATAGAGAGATGTGCCACCAGATGTCAGGAGGGAGAGTGTACCGTGTGCATTTCGGTCCACATTAAGTAGAAAAGCTGAAATGCCTTTTTCCCAAATATCGAGAGATGTACATCAATAAACGAGCTATTGAACGGCATTAAATGTTTGTTTCATATGCATTGTTTCATGTGCAAAAAATGCCTGAGAGAAGTCACAGTCGAAAACTGGCCCTAAAACGCATCGGCGAGTGGTGAAAAGGTTTCTGTTATGGTAGTCAATAAACTTCAAAACAAAACGACATAGATTCTCGATCTAGAGATCCTCAGCTATGAACTAGTGAACAAGTTTTTCTTTTGGATCAAAAGGCGAGGAAAAATTAATAGTAGGTTTCAAACTAGTGAAGTTTCTGAAAACATAGGTTTGATGCACCTTCCTAAATCTTCCATCTCGCTCAAACTTCAATTGCTGCGCAAAATTCTTCTGTCTATGCTGCATCTATGATCTTAGTGGTGAATAATGTCATCGTTCTTGGCTCTCGCTATAGGTTTTCCAAAACCTCCTGATTTCTTCAAGTAAAATCTATTTTCTCAGTTCCAGAACCCTGGAAATGAATAATAGGAAAAAATAAGGTCGTATTTGGAATTAGCAAAACTGCAGCGAGAAGAATAAACGGAAAGTGCAAAAACCGTAGTCACTCGATAAAAAACCTTCTATAAACTTCAGCCCTCATCTTTCCTTCTTATTAAGGAAAAAGTGTGAAAGTTTTTTCAAAAACACCGATCAAAATACTGCTTCTAAAAACACATAGGTTTTCAACCTTACCTAAATCGTTTTGCCATTCCGGAAACTGTCATAACAAAACTATCGGATTCATTTAAAAATTTCACATCTCGAATGGGTGTAAATGATATTTGAATTGTACGTATAGGCCAAATTTCTTTTTCACCATTTTTATTCTAAATGAATAATAAAAGAAAATATTTATTATTAATAAAAAAGTATTAAATAAGAATTGAATGTAGTTACTGTTTGTGTGAGACACGAAGCGGTGATATTAACATTGAATAATGCAATATAACCATTACTATATGATGTAATTATTCTTGATGGATCCAATTTACTCCAATCAATTGATAAACATTGTGGTAATGAACCATGATGATTTAAAGATAATTTTAATTGTTTTGTTGAATTATAAAATGGATACACTGTTGTTGTTGTTGATTTATCTGACGATTGCTCAATAATATTATGAATATAAATATGACCAGAACTACACGCAGCAGCTAAATATCCTAAATCATTTTTATTATGTTCATGATTTTGATATGGTGCCCATTTTAAATTTCAAATAGTACCGAATTTTATTATTGGTAAATAACAAACGAGTCGATAATGTTTTGGATATGTACATGTTTTTATATCAGACAAATCAAATTCCCATAACTGAATACAATTTTTATACGTATAATTTTCGTTATAATAATGTTTATTAACGAGAGATGAACGTGATGGAAATCCGTTACTTCTCAGAGTGAAGTAACGGTAAAAGATTCATTTTGTAGTTTCGACAGCGACAAATTAACAATTCTTACTAATTTTTGTTTTACTAACAACTTTTAATTAACTATAGCTTCATTCCTGTTGTTTTTTTTACAAAAGCGCGTTTAAACGGGTTTTCCACACCCGTTTTTCCACCAAAGCGTTGAAGCCCGTCTTTTTCAACGTGTTTTCACGATCAAAAACGCGTTGTGAACAAAAAAGTGGTCTGTGGTTAATAAAACTGACAGTGTATAAATAATCTGTTATAGCGAATCGATTAGAAATACTTCCAATCTCATTGGGATCTGCCGAGGGTGTCCAGGAAACCTTGTAGCTTTTTATCACATTAGATGGATTTTTGGTGGAATCAGAGAAGTTCATAGCGTTTCTCAGTTATACTGGCTGCAAATGCCGACCGAAGCGAGGCGTGAGCATTGTTTTGAATTTAGAAATACTTTTAGACCTGTAGGGATTTTTCCTTTTTTTCCTATTTTCCAACGCGTTTTTGATCGTGAAAACGCGTTGAAAAAGACGGGCTTCAATGCTTTCGTGGAAAAACGCGTTTACTTGAGAAAAAACGCGTGTGGAAAACCCGTTTAAACGCACTTTTGTAAAAAAACAACAGGAATAAAGCTATAGTTAATTAAAAGTTGTTAGTAAAACAAAAATTAGTAAGAATTGTTAATTTGTCGCTGTCGAAACTACAAAATGAATCTTTTACCGTTACTTCACCCTGAGAAGTAACGGATTTCCATTACCCGTTACTGCTAACGGATTTTAGTTAATTTAAGCTTTATTGATTGAAATAACTAATAAGCCATGCAATCGATCCTAAGGCCATTACAGCATGTTGTATACTTCTAATTGCGTTGACAGAGTGAAAAGAAATGTCTAGGCAACACGAGAGTATTTACCTCTATAAAATAATCTATCGAAATAACACGATAAGATAACAGGCAAAAGAAGTTAAATTGAAAAGTTGTGTGCGTATGAGAGTGTACAGCAGGAAAAAGTACGGGAGAGAAACCTGATGGAATGACGCACGAATGCAAAAAGATATATGGGGATGCCACAAAATTCCTTATTGATCTAACGAATTTAGGCGAACAATTCTATGTTTATGCAGCATTGAAACAATCTCACATTACATATGAACAAGAAAAACGCTTCTTTTATATTGTGCTCGCGATTTCTGTAGTTTCTATCGCCGCGAATAGCCTGATAAAGAATGCTCGGATTCTTATTATCATCCTGGCATTGGTGGAAATTGGGGAACTGATTAGTTACTTGGTTATCTACAATCGGATTCTTTACAACTTCGGAAACTCATCAGTTTACACATTCGTCTATGTGACATCGGCCTGTTTAGTATTTGAAGTCATAATGTACGCGTTGCACTTTAAATTTGTTGGATTGGAATCAACCCCTGACAAAACTCCTGACCAACTGGATGAGCAAATGCGCAGGAATTATAAGCTTAATAAATATGTTCTAGGAACCAGTATGGCTAGTTTTCTGTCTGGTCAAATAGGTTTGCTATCCATTAGTCCTGACTCCCGATATCGACAAACCTACTTTGAAGTACTTATAATACTAACAGCATTTTTTCATGGAGTGCTGTCACCTGATTTGGATCTGAGAGTATTTTTGATGGAATGCGCCGAACGACGTGAATATGTGAAAGGTGAGTTATTCGGTATGTGCTGGATGCTGCTGTCAGCATTTCTGGATTTGATAGCGATAATCATGTATATTGTGAGTGCTGATGTGTTCGCCATTCTGGAACTAAAAGCAGGCCCATCTCCACGAACCAGTAACATAATTGTTCTGGCTATATCCGGATTTTTTTTTTTTAATTCTATGCTGTGTTTGTTTCGGGTGCTGCATTTATTACAAGAGCCATCTGGGGAATCGACATCACAAAGGAAACCAAGTAGTTCCTGATACAGATGTATCTGGTACAAATATTCGAAATCGAACCTATTCTGTTTGAAACATAAATAAATACGCAGCTTTTCGTCGCTTACGTAAAGGCATCGAACAGAAATATTATTGAAAACAAACGTCGACTTGGAAAGCTGAAGAATTATGTAAATCGAATCAAAAATGATCATCATCTCAGATTCGGATTTGAAATACTTTTAAAAATGTTTGTCTGCAACATTACACGGTGTTCAGCGACATTGTTTTCTAGCAATGTTGACAATCAATATGCAGCTAGTTCTGCTTGCTAGCTTCGACTGTCAACTTGAACTCTGAATGCGTTTTTCGTGCTGTTATTGATCCGACTGCATGGCTTTTATTATGTGCACGCGGTGTTTCTTCTTAACTGATCTTCATAATTAAATAAAACAATTACATTCAGAGTTTGTTCAATCATTTCCAACAAAAAATATCGATAATGAACAAAAAACAGTGACTGTGTATCGCGGCCAAGGCATAAATGTAGATGAGCTTGAAAACCTAAAGAATAATCTTGGAGAGCTTTTATCATTAAACAACTTTTTATCCACAAGTACATTCTAAAAAAAAAGCGTTTTCTCGGAAACTGGATGTGATTCGAAAACTCTTTCGGAAACTCTTTTTGGTTTTAGAACGGTAATACGAAACCCTTGGAGGTTTTGTAGGTGACTTTGGAAACCGAAAGGATATTTGAGAATACGGTACAGGGTATCCGAACTGTCGGAAACCTAACAGATATTTGGCGAAAATGTTCGAAAACGGAAAAGGTATCCTCCGAAGCCGAAAGAGTATTATCCGA